TCTTACCTGTGCATTAACGGCCCGCGATTCGGACACATTCACCGCGTATTCGTCGCGCTCGAAGACGGGCGGATTGTCATTGACGTCCTGCACGTCGACGAGTATGGTGAGATCCGCCGAGAGGGGCGGTAGACCGCCATCGGTGGCCGTCACAATTAACGAATGCCGCTGCGCGGTCTCGTAGTCCAGATGTCGTGATAGCACTAGGTGGCCCGAGCGTGCATCGATAGCGAAGAGGGCAGCGCCCGTTGGCTGCGCCTTGCCGCGGCCCGGCCCCTGCTGGGTGGCATTGGCATTGCCCCTAATGCTGTAGGTCACCTGCCCGCTGCTGCCCGAGTCCTTGTCGTGGGCGTGGGCAGCGAACAGCGGTGTGCCCAGCTCGGCATTCTCGGGCACCGAGATTCGCACCATGCTCGTCTCGAACTCGGGCGCATTGTCATTGACGTCCTCCACTTCGATGTTAACCTGCGTGTGGCCATAGACGGGCGGCTCGCCGCTGGTCGCCTGTATGTTCAGCAGGACCTGCGCCTTGGCCTCGTGGTCCAGCGGGCGGGCAATCCGTATATTGCCCGAGGCGGGCTCAATGCTAAAGTAGCCATCCGGATCGCCCGAGTATATAGAATAGCGCACCGGACTGCGTTGAGCTGCAAGTTGAGAAGAGAGAGAGAGAGATATATAGAGAGGTTAAAGAAGAAAACACAAATTGATGAGAAAGAATGTGAAAAGGGGGAAGCGGGAAGCGGGAAGGGTTCAAAGGGTTGCCAAAAAGATGCCTCATTAAAGGCAATTCAAATGCCAGTGAGCCAAACAAAGGACGCGCAATGAGTTTGCAGATGGAACAATAGAACCAAAGAATGAGCGAACACTGAACCTCTCGTACCAGATTGACACATGAGAGGAGCCAGCCGAGGGGCCGGGAACAGCAACAGCGGCGGCGGGAGCAATGAAAGGAAGTGCACAGCGAAAGCAGCAAATTAAAGCTCAAAATTCATTTTGCATAGCCATTCAAAAGAGAGAGAAAAAAAAGCAGCAGACTCCCAACTTCAGTCTTCGTCTTTCCTCCCAACTACCCCCGCACCGACCCAGCCTGTGTTCGCCCGGTAGACAGGCACTCGAGCTCGTGTCTTGGCCTTTTGTATCAGCGAGCGAGCGAGCGATGACGAGGACGTGGAATATCGTTGATGGGTGCAGATTTCTGCCGAAATTTGCGTTTGAAGTGTTTTGCTTTGGCTTTGTTCTGCATG